GAAGGGTTGAATTTTGCCATTCACATTCCGGAGCTCGAATTCATTATGATTCTTCTCAATTTCATCTCCAAAAACGCAAAATGTACCAATAAATTCGTCGTTCTGCCAGACTCTACAGTGGTAGCAGCGTCGACCGATTGGATCCACACCTGTGTCCATAACTTTGCTCTGATTTTCAAGCAATTTTGTCTTATTAGATTCCCAGTGTAAATCGTAAAATTGCACATCGACGTCTAGATTAGAGGTGTTGGTAACTCGAAGTTTGAATGGTGTACCCCAAAGGTTCTTGACAGCGTTTCCAGCAGCAACTGCAAGTTCAGATGCATCTGTTATAACTCCTTTAAGAGTATTCATGGCTGCTATAGACGAAAGTTTGTCGTTAGTTGTACCAAACTAAACAAATAAAAATTTAAACGGATCGACAAACCAAACCAAATCAAGTTTAATTCTCTGGCTACAGCGCAGCCAAATTCAACTCAAAAATCTATATAAAATAAGCGATATTCTAAATTTAAAAATATCTGTAGATTTTTGTGAAAAATTTCTGTTGAAATTTAAAAAAAATAAGGTCCTGACGTTTGGCTAAATAGTAGGAAGTAAAAAACAATTATTGGTGCAATAAACTATCTGACTTTCCTGAGTTAAGAAATTGGGTGAATATGATGCTGGAAACTTACTTGTCAGTAGGTGTCGATTCAATCCAACGTGCTCGACAGAATGGGAGAGGAAGCCTTCTTAACATGTTCTTTGACAAAATGCCTACGAAAAAAAACAAAGATGTCTGACACCAAATCTTTTTCTTTTGCGCTCTACTTATGCAAGGAAATGAAAACATGACAACCATTACTGCAGAATAAGTGAACAAGTTAGCGTCCTACAACGCGAAAACAACCTAATTTTTTTACATTTTATAGAATATTTCAGACACTCGTAGGAAGAAATTGACATAGATCGAGACTATTTTCTCCGCTCTCTTCCTTTTATGGTCTCCGTATACGAAAATTGCTTAACAGACAATCTTCATTTAATTCAGACAGCATCTGTTTTATATGTATGGTTATCCTTCGGTTTGAATATAGCAGCTGTTTTATCATATCAACGTAACTTACTTCTAATGTGAAGAGTATATGATATTATAAGTTTTTCGAACTTCTAAAGAGTAAAGATAAGAATGCAGTGTATTATAGTATTATTTTTCCTTTCACTGTATTCTTTCACAAATTTTTGTTATTCACACGTTCCAACACACGTGGACTTTTTCTTTCTTATATCTAACTTCGATACTGTAGTGTACAAGCAAAGAGAAGAAGAAAAAATGAATATAAAGCATTCTTCGCGTTCTGCAATCAAGAGTCAATACTCGCAGTTCTTTTTCTTTTTTCTTCGTTAAATATGTGTGCGCAAGTAATGTCATTTGAAAACAGAACTGGAATAAGATTTTCTCCCAAGTAAATGTACTACCATATTCCGTATAGCAGAAAAGGATATATGGCAACATCATGATTATATGACGTATTTCAAAATAAACGGGATATATGTTTGTTTATCTCTCTCTCTTTTTTTGCTCTTTTTATTACTATGCGTTGGTAGAGGATGATATGAAGGAAGGAAAAAAGCAACAATAAAACACGAACATTTTCTTATTGCGAGCTATTCATGATGATCAAAGAGCACCAAATATGAGTAAAGATCACGAGGATTCATAAAATATAAATTTTCGAAAGTGTTAATTCTATTGTTCATAGGCAAAATAATTTTCAAATTCGTTGTGAAAAAAATCAACTAGAAACTTGATTAAAAAAAAAGCTCACTTTTATTGCCCACAAGTGCAAATAAAGGTTTTCTACCACCACAATATTTTTGTCACTGTCAAATACCAATCATCGAGATTCTTAAAACTTTGTAAATTAGTAATATCATAAACAAGTAAAACAATCTAATCAAACAAAAAAGAAAATTCATATGCATAATCTAAATTAATAATTTTAATTTTACATCTGCTCCAAATATATATTTGTCTAACATGGCGCCATCTAATGTTTGTCACCCTACATCATTTACAGCTAATGTAACATTATATGAACCTTAATATCAAGTAATATAAATATTCAATTAAATTTTAAAAGAGTGTTTATTTATATTTACGAGTTAAATCGATACATTTTAAATAATAATCAATTCCTAATGTTTAATTATAATCGCGATTGAACGCATCTTTTAAAAATCTTTCAGATATAGGTGTCTAAAATATTTTTTTTAAATAACAAAAAAGAACGAAAAAAAAACTGAAAATTGATTCATTTATTTTACCTTGCCAGAACTGCCATCACCAACAAGAACAATTTTTACTTGTTTTTCATATGCTTCACCTTCTGAATCAGACATTTCGAGCTTGAATTAAATTCCTAAAAGATTTTTTTCTTTTCATAAGCTTTTTTTTGTTTGTGCTCGACTGAGCAGATTAGAAGAAAAAGAGAAAAAGTAAATTTGTGCCATAAAAATTTTGTTACCTTGGTATCAATCTCGAGTTTTTTTATGGCAACATCTTTCAATTAATTTAATCGATACAAATTCAATTATTTTTCGTCTCATTCAAACATGCAATAAATAAAACATATATATTAATGAGAATGCGTGGCGTTTTTAATGAAAATTTAGTAGTAGAAATACTTACTACTTTCAAAACACATTCAGCTGCAGAGAAGATAAATAAAGAATCAAAATAGTATTTTTTTTTTGAAAGAACTATGTCATGTCTTTAGATTAGTCATACTCTGAATATTAATTAACTCACAAATGATACTATACTTTGACAGGAACCTTTTTTGTTTTTGTTCTAAAATTAAGATACTTACTTTTAGAGAAGTAAGGTGTCCATGAATGAAGAATTTAATTTGGCATGGCAAGGTGTCATCTAGATAAGAGAATAAAACGAAAAAAAAGAAATCATAGGCGAGTCTATTTTTTATATAGGATGATCCGTTAGATAGTTTGTAAGGGATCATCTGCAAAAAGAAAAAAATATGATTTTCATGGATGAATCAATCTATCTAATTCATAGCTTGCACTCAATATTCTGGATATGATTTTATTTCTCAAATATTGATATTATAGAAAGTAAGAAGTGAAAAAGTAATATAGTGATAAAAAAAAAGACTAGAAAACAAAGTTTTTTTCTATGGAAGAGCACCTATTTTGATGGCACTGAAAGAAAGAAAAGAACATTGAAGGAAGGGTGGGGTGTAGGTGGGAACTTTGCTGTTCACCGACACCCACACCCACCCCGTTCATGTTTAAGAGCATATTCAGATGATTGAATATCTCGATGATCTTGACATCGTTCATTCCAGATTCTTGACTTTCCTGGTTATCAGATAAGATTTTTTTGTCAGTCCTTCTATACAAGATTCTTGTCTGAAAAATATGATCTTGACTTTCTGGCAAGAATCGTGCAGACAGAATCTTAGCTGATTAGACAAGAACTATCTCGTTAGACAAGATTCTTGTATTCTTCAATTCAGGCTGATTCTTTTTTTTGGTACATGTGAAATATTTATTAGAAAAAAATGAGGTAAATTATAAAACGGATTTACATAAAACTAGTGCAATGCAAATCATAATAAAAATATTTTACATAAATTAAGGAAAAAAGCTTAAAGTATTTTATTTACATTAAAAGTATAATATTCTTATTATAACACTTTGCCATCTTCATGGTTATCATCTGGAGCTGATGGTGTTGGACATGTCGCCAAGCCGTTGTCTTCTGAAAACTCTAGAATTATCCATAATTTGACTTATTAATACGTTTCAACGAATGTACCTTTACTTTTAAATATGTTGACTTACCTGATGTCGATATGAAACTAATAGGTTATTTGAAAACAAGATATTTTTTTCATTTAAGTGACCACAATAACTATTTTCTGTCGTTGTTTAGAAATGAATAAATAGTGTAGCAACATTGATATTTATATATATAGATACATGTACACAAAGACATCACGCGACGTGTCTTGAAGACCAGACAAGAATCTTTTTTTTTCTTTTCTATTAAAAGAATCTTGTCTGAGTTTCAGGATTAAAAAGAATCTTGGCTGATCGATCAAGAAAAACAAGAATCTGGACAGAATAGATCCAAAAAACTCGATTAGTGCTGTAGCTAAAAGTATTAATAATTTACGTTCTTGGGTGTGGGTGGTGTGGATGTAGGGTATAGGAATGAGTATAGGGTGTACGTGTCAGCGTCAGTATAGGTATTAGTGGGTATGAGCGTCGAGGAAGAGAAGAAGTAGATCCAGACCTGCATCCCCACATCCTCAAAAATAGGGTTTCGGTGTGAGCATTTATGTTTATTTTAGGCACTGGTATGATTGTGGTGTTGGTAATGATGTGGATGTGGCGTTTGGGTATGAGTATGAAGATCTCGGTTACAGTCTGTATGTAGGTATACACTTTCTAGTCAACAATATCTATACCTCAATCCTGCACGCATATGCACACCCATAACCACATCTTTGTTTATGTAGATCTCTACATGTTGAATTTATATATTTTGTTACAAAGAAAAAAGGTACATGATCTTCGATGAAAATGTTTTCATTTTTAAATTTTACGTTAGTTAGAATCAATTGGCTATTGCCTATTCGAATTGTTTATGTCAAATATTAAAAAAGAATTTTTATAAATTCACTCTTCACAATTTATTGTAGTCTCACTAATATCTACTTAGTCAAAGTATTGGCGTTACATCTTTTCATAAGACTCAATTAGTCTATCTATTAACTAGTATATCCAAATGAATCTTTAAACGAAAAGTAAAACACAAAGTAGACTTGCAAAAAAAAAAGTCAAACAAATTGAAATCGAATAATTCGATTTAAACATTTTTTATTCTGGTATAGCTAAACATATTTAAATACATAGATGTACAAATAAAACTGTACATAATATCAACAGTTCACTGAGAAGAAAGCAAGAAAAAAAATACATATTATAATTTACCAAAATGGACACCAACCAATATACAATCTGAAAGAAGGAGAAAAAAAACCAACCAAGTGTAAAGTAAATAATAAAAACAAAAACATACTGGCAAAGATTTTCATGACTAGTTGCTTGTTGAATAAGTAATTCAACTTGTGTTGGTGTATCAATAGGTTGTTCTCGATGAAAATCATTTCCAGTTAATTTTTCTCGCACACGATTCATTATTTCGACTGCTCGTATTACTTGACCTGATTCTTGATTATGTTGTTGTTGTATTTTTTCACCGACTGTACTTTCATGTTCATTATCTTCTTCATTAATTATTGATAAATGTGATTGATAATGTTGTTGTTCTGGTAAATGGCTACTTGTTTTTGATATAGTAGTGCTCTGTTGTTCATTATTATTATTATTTTTTAATAAACGCCAACTAAGTAATGGATCATGTACAAATGCTTCTAATACAGCCATAAGACTATCACGATTTTTTCTTAATACATCCATAACATATTCACATGTCATACGAAATATTCCATCAATACCAGTTACTTCCATTGCTTTACATAACATACGTGTTAAACGAAATGGAATTTTTTCTGGAAATTTTTCTCGTATCATAGCTACTTCAAAACAATCACCAAAATCTATATGAACAATTTTTCCACTTATACGATCAAGCATTAAATTTGATGTATGACGATCACCTAAACCTAATATATAACCAACCTAGACAAAAAAAAAGAACAAGGAATACATGAAAATTATTTTATTCGATCTATTTCGGGACTGTATTTCAGAACTCTTGGTATATATTTTGATACTCATTTTAGATTGTATTTCATAAAACAATAAAATTTCATTCTTACCATAGACATAACTGCTAATGATCTTATATAATTTGATCTTCTATTTAACCATATTTCTGCATTTGAACTTTTATGCCATAAAATTTTTGCTAAATCATCTCCTTCGAAAGAATTTAAAACATTTTGAAATATTTCAACTTTATTTAATAATGGTAATCGATCATAATGTGGAGCTTTTTCACGTGCATAAGTATATTCAATACCAAATGGTATACATGCTTTTTCACGATGTTCTTTTATTAATGTATGAATTGTGTCACATTGTGCAATCCAACCAAGTAAACCATTATTTGGTGCTAATGGTATAACTGGATAACATTGCATAGTAAAATTTCGACGACGTGTTTCATCATTAGTTAATAGAAATTCATTAACTAAACCAAATAATTGCATAACACGTTCATCTTGTCGTAAATCTTCATGTCCTTTGAGAAGAAATACATATTCATATCCATCTGAACCTTTTATACTAATTTTTCTTGGTCGTTGTTTTGATGTTATAATTTTTATAGATGATTGAATATTTCGAATTGTTATTGATGATTTATGTGGTTCATAAGTACCTGGAACAGCTAATTCTAAGTTTTGACAATTTATTGTTAAACCTATAAAAGAATATTTAATGAGTATATAACTATTTCTCATGATATTCATTATAATCAAATGTTTTTATTCAAATATGGATTTATTAAAACTGAGCTGAGAATATTTACTAGAAAAAATTTCTTACGTGGAGAAATATGTTCTAATTCAAGAGATGTTATATTTGCTAATTGAGTACGAATACAAGTAAATACTTGATAATAAAGATGCCATGCTTGAATTAATTCGTTTTGATCTCTGGTTTGTTGAAAACGACGAATATATTCATGAGCTTCAGTTAAATCATTACCATATGAATCAAGAAATTTACGTTCATTTACAGTTGTACTTCCATGTTCAATTGTTGCATGTAAAGGTTCTAATGTCTCAATCATACCTTATAAAAATAGATTAATTTTTATGAAAAATTTAAAAATAAATTGATTACTAAGAATATTTAAGATATATTTCTTTTAATAAAGATATCAAGTATTTTCATACATACCTGATATATTTCTATTAGTAGAATATTGTTCTAATGCTACTTGTAAACCTTTATACCATTTTTCATGCCATAATACAGATATTCGAATTAATTCTTCACTAATAATTAAAGCTTGATGTATAAGTGTATGACTATGTTCTCTCATATTATTTAAAACTCGATTAGCTGCAAATTCACGATCATGAACAATTGATTTTGATGCAACAATTAATGGATAAATTAATGCTTGTGGATGTTGTTGACCAATATCAATAAGTAAATGATGTATTAATTTATTAACTAATGGTTTTGAAGAATCAATACGTGCAATTAATTGTGGTAATACATATAACCAAACTTCAATAGGTACTGTTCGATTACCTTCAGTAATAGCTTCATATACTTCATGATATTGTCCATATTCAAACAAAAGTGTTAATAAACGAAGAGTATTTTGTAAACAATATTTAACTTTTGAAAGTATAATAGATTTAAATAAACCTTTTACAGCTGATATTGTACAACATATCATTTTTGCTATTAATATTTGATAAGTATCATTGAATATATCAAGGTTCTGTTGTTGTTGTTTAAAATAATTAACAGCATCATAATTAAGTATAGCATAAGCATTCCATGCTTTATAATTTGAATTATCATATTTCCAAGCATATTTATAATTTTTCATTATTTCAGCTAATATACTATCATCTGTTATATTAAATAATTCATGTTCCCATGTACCTATTCGTAAATAACATTTTGATATTAATTGACGAAGACGTTGTTCATGTTGATTAGCTGTTTGAAATGATGTCGCATTTTTAATTGTTACAGGGAATGACTAATAAAAGAAATAATGAAAATTGGTTTTTTGTTTCTTTGGAACATAGTAAAATTTCTCTAATATAGGGAACATCGGAATTCGTCAAAATGTACAAAGGCTTTTTTTTCTCTCATAATCTATGAATATTCAGTTGCGATTGCTCTTTCGCTTACATCAGATAATTATTTTTTCCCTAGAAGAATATTGTACTTTATACTTCATTAAAACAAGAATCTTACAGATAATTGTGAAATTGTATTAACATTTTGAATTATTCCAGTTAAAATATTTTCTGAAGTAGTTGATGTTGTTGTTTGTTTTCTTAAATTATTTAATATTGGTAAACATTCTTTAATAATCATTTCTTTCATATCTTCAATTAATTTTAATTGTTCTTGATGATTTTGTTCAAGTTTAATATTTATATTTTCTTCTATTAATGATACTTGTTCAAAATTTTGTTTTTCAAGTACAAGACGTTGACGAGTTGTAGTTAAACAATACCAATCATATTTAGCTTTTTCATATTTAACTAATTGTTGATCAATTAATGATGTATTTGAATTGATAATTGATCTATCATGATTAAGATTTATTTGATCATTTAAAATTGTACGTGTTAATTCTTTAAATATAAAATCAGCCATTATTAAACGATTTGATTTACGACAAAGATTAGCTAATTTAATCCATGATTGAAGATCTTGTGCCATTGGTAAACAAAGTGAATGTGTTAATAATAGACGATGATAATCATCAACAATTGGTTGATTACCTTGCATACGTTTTTGCCAATTTTCATATATAGATTGACGTCGTTCAGGTGATATTTTATAGTACCATACTTCTTCTAATTCAGATAAAAGTTGAGCATTAATCATAGCTAAATAAAAATAATTTTTTTTTATTTATATTTATATATAAAGAAAAAAACAAAATCTATTTAATTACCTGAATAAGCTCGATTATAACTTTCATTAACTAATGTTGTTAATTCAACATCTAATAATTCTCTTGCTAAATCAATTGAATCTTGTGCTTGTCTATAATTATCTTTTCTAATAGCATCAATAGCACGATAATAAGCTCCTTCAAAATTTGTATTCGGTATATGTATATAATATTTTTCCATATCAATCATATTACCAAGACTCCATGCTGCACGTGTTGCCATCGGTGCAATTTTTTGTTGTAAAATTTTTTTTAATTCACATCCATTAATAGTAGTTTGATTATGGGTGTGGGTGTGGGTGTGGGTGGGGTGTGGGTGGG